GGATTGTAATAAATGGTTTTTATTTCTGGAAGTGCTTTCGACGTTCCCTCATTCCCGCTTTTACTTCTATCTTCTCTTTCAGAATGTGAATGGTATTAAGTACCATGCTAAAAATGGGCACAGGACACAGATCCGTGTGAGAAAGCCCTTCAAGTGTCGCTGTGGGAAAAGCTATAAAACCTCTCAAGGCCTTAGACATCACACCATCAACTTCCACCCACCTCTGTGATACACACACACCATCATTTTCAAGTTTACCTAGTCATCCTATCATTTACATTTCTGGATCATATGTAAACTGGGATCAAATGCTAATTTCATTATTCTCTTTATGTATGTGATTTTATATATACATGTAGATATACTTGTACATTTGCACATTCCACGTATATCATTTCTTTATTGCTTTTCAAGATATTCTTTTTTCTTTTCTTTTTTGTATTTAGGTGACACAGTCACTGATAAATGAAAATGACTGTGCTGAAGATTAGGACACGACATAAACATTTGTTTCTGATTTTAAAGACAGAAAATGTTTTAAAATCAGAAGAGTGAAGAAATTCTAGATAATTTCGTTTTGTTCATCAAACCTACTAAGTGAAAACTACAGTATGGTATGTTGAAACGTGTATGTATGAAATTATATAAAGACACATTTATATATATTAGTAGCTAAGTTGTATTATCCAAACATTTTATTTTCCATTATATATTTTGCAGAACATTTATATTATGTTTTATACAAGAACTTTATCTCGTCTTTATAGACTTGTTTTTTTAATTACATTTCATATTTTTATTTGCTTTGTAGAGAAGCAGACTTTTATTGTCTGAATTGGAAGGACATTGATCTCAGGTCACAATACAGCTGCCAACTTTCAGACAAACAAACCAGGAAACAGGAAAAACTCACTTCCACTCACGTCGTTCCAGAACATTCCACACAGAATATCAAAACGGCTGACATTACGCAGTGTAAAGTTACCTTTCCAGATTTCTTTTGCATGCGGCTGGCATGCAGGCAGCACCTTCGGTGTGAAATTGAATTCTCTGCATGTGGCCTTCTCCAGACGACTGCAAGCGGTTAAATGGTTTCTGTCTAGTTGCATTTGAGTTCTGAGCAATATTTGACATAATGATCCCTGAATGAAAACACACTATTGTTGAAGCCAACAATAATCGCATTTAAAATGCACAACGCAACATCAGCTTAAAGAAAGACAAAGGAGGGCAGATTTATTCAGCCCCGTTCCCCTGCTGTTATACCAGCAGTGCAGAAGTGCCAAGTTATTCTTCCCCAACTGGAAAAAGAAACGTGGATGATCTGCCAAACACACAACGGGTCACATCTGGCTATCCGTTTGGTGCCTGTTAGCGGAGGAGCCTTAAAGAGGACCTAAACTTCTCTTTGTGTACTCAGCCTTGCAGTATTTTTTGTCAGTTTTAGCTCATACGATCTTGATTTCGGTCGTTGCTGTTGTTTATTTTTTGACACATTTGGGACTGTCCTCGTGGTTGTGTTTGTGTAAACGTATTTTTTAGCCCTCTGCTTGCCTTGTATTGTAGGCTACGGCTTGCTAGCATGACACGACCGCTTAGCTGCTCTGCTGTCTCTTGGCTTGTAGTCTTACTGTTACAATCTTTGTTGTCAAAAGTATTATATCATTACTTTATATTGTTACTGCTAGTATTACAGTTCGATAGTGCCAGATGCATAGCTACGCCTGAATATATTTTCTCAACTTTAATTCTTGAACGATTTTTGCATCGGTCCTGTTGTCGGCCAAATAAAGCATACCACGGTTTACAAAAAAAATTTCCTTGGCAACTGCTAAGAGCTTAAACCTTTGGTGCAAAGAAGGACCAAGTAAGCTTTCCTATCTACTAGTCTGTTTTTCTTGGTTAGGGTCGGTCAAATGAAACAACATGGACCAAAAATGGCACTGCCAAATCTCCAGATATGAAGCTTAGAAAAATAAGGTGCTGTTCACGGTACAATGATGGTATCAGATTGTGTTTCTATGGTTCTTTGAAATGTACACCATGGTATTTATATGGCATTTTGTGGTACATGTCCAAAAACATGGTAACACGCGGTACTTTTTTGTTAGTGGTGCCAAGATGGGACACAGAAATTCAATATGGACAAATTGTTCCATATTTTCCATATATGTGACCCTGGAGCACAAAACCAGTCTCAAGTCGCTGGGGTATATTTTTAGCAATAGCCAAAAATACATTGTATTGGTCAAAATTATCGATTTTTCTTTTATGCCAAAAATCATTAGGATATTAAGTAAAGATCATGTTCCATGAAGATATTTTGTAAATTTCCTACCGTAAATATATCAAAACTTAATTTTTGATTAGTAATATGCATAGCTAAGGACTTCATTTGGAATTCGTACTGTATGTTTTTGTGGAAAATGTTTTGTGGAACCGAGGCAATTTGTATGTGAGATGACATATCATGTGTGCGTGTTTGTGTGAGCGAATGAGAAACTCTTTTGAGATGTCTTTATCCTCAAGTTGCAATGTAAACTTTAGGATAATGGTACAAAAATAAAGAAAAACAAGAAAGTGTGTTGTCCGTTTCTGTTTTATTGTCTATAGAGTGTTGATGTAATGACTTGCTGATACAAGGACAAATGTTCAGTTGAATGAACTTGAGCTGTAGCATTCTTTATTAATAAACATACACTTGATACACACAAACACAGAGCAACCCTAAGTTAAACTTCCTGGCACACTTACAGTGTGAAGCATCAGCTTTGTTGGATAAATGGATTTCAAGCAGGAATGTGTGACGGATATAATGCTGAAACTGAATGTATTAAGTTATGTTTGAACCAATGATGCACTGAAAAGTCGCTGCCACAGCCATAGTTTTAGCACTCTGGCTCTCTGGATTGAGTCGCTTGGTTATTTTAGCTGAGCTTCAAGAAATAGTTCACTTAAAAACAAATGTTTTGTCATCACCACACAGAATAAACAGAAACAGGCTTCCATAATTCAGTTCATTGGCTCAACTTAAACCGTGTTAAACCACTTTTATTATATTTTTTATAGTGCTTTTACATCTTTTCTGAAGCTTAAAAGCTCTGGTCCATATTTATTGTAATAAGATTTAAAGCACAACCAGCATTTAGTTTCACAGAAGAATGTTATATAGTTTTAGAACAAAATGAGGGCGATTAAATGGTGACAGAATGTCCAATTTTAGGTGAACTATCCCTTTAAATTAGTGTTTTAGTGACTGTGTTTCACACAGAAGTAACAATATAAGAGTAATTTTAGTGATTTGGGTTTATTAATTATGGTAATTTCCTTTTGGCAAAATAAACATATACATCATTGCATCATTGGTCCTTTAAAATGAATCTACATTTTCATAAACAATAACCTAAAGCTCTCATTTTAAAGCACAATCAGTAGTACACAATTTTAAACTAAAAAAAGTGCTTTTCATATTTTTTATACATATCTATTACACCTGAAGACCATTATTACAGTATTCTCTCTCTTAGAAGTTTAAATATCTGAATTAATGTTTGTCTATGTGCAAATCAAATCTAGTCCTCCTGGCATGAGCGCAGCGGTTACGACAAAGTGACAACATCAGCGTGTTTCAAACAAAACATTGAAGCCCCTGAATCACCCGAGGCATTTTATATTGAACTAAAAGCAAATAAATATTTTTTTCTTCTCTAATCAAAGTTGTCAAAGTTCAGAACATTGTCTTCAAAGTGTGTGTGCACATGCTTTTCGTAGAGATGCTGCTGGCAGTCCAGAGGAGATGCCTTGTTTGCTGGAAAGAACGTTTGCATGCCACGTCCACTTTCGGTAGGAGTAGGAATCCCATGGGTAGCACACCCCATTTCTGACTGTGATACTTGCACTCTATTTGGTGTGGTCACTAATGGAATTTTTAACAAAAGCACATGTCATGACGTGACTGCTCCTCCAGCCTCACCATGTTGCACTCCAGGTTTAAGGTCCTGCAATTTGACGACAAGCACACCGGTTATGACAGACTTACTCTTACCAATGACTCAAAGGAAAAACTAGCTTACTGGTTATCAGGGTTATTATTAGTAACTAAAACTAAAACCATCATAAAAGCATTTCCAATACTTGAAATAAAATAAATATTAACTGAAATAAAATTAAATAAAAAAAATCCAGCTAGATTTCAAGGCAACATGTTTCATTTTCATTTAGTTTAATTCGAAGTATTAAAATAACAAAAAATAAATAAGAAACAAAACCAAAAAAACTAACACAAATCAAAACCACTAAAACCTATATAGACTATATTTAAAACATGATAATAAAATGGCAACAGCAAAAAAATCAGAACTTAAATATACTAAAACTTTAGCTAACATTAAAATGAACACAGAAAATGTACAAATAAAATATATTTCAAAATATATACAAAAACTGAACATAGTAAATAAATTATACTAAACACTGCTGCACACTATGCCGTATATACTGTAGTATTTACGGTGTAATAAACTATAAAATAGTTTATAGCACACACTTTTAACCATATAATCAACTGTAAACCTTTATATGTAGTATGCTTCATTGTCATATGACCTCACCAAACTACAAATGACATCCAGTTAAGTGTTTACGGTAATATTTTATTTCATTTTTGAAATAAATGTAAAAAAAAACATTGTTTTGGTATGTCCTCCAAAACTTTTGGCATTCAGATCCAATAATGAGTCAAAAATCCATAGAAAGATGTATGAAATAAAATGTACACAGACATTTACATTATTGCATCATTGGTCTTCATTTTCACAAACATTTTTTATAACCAAAAATAAAGTAAAATTTGATATTACTTCTAGTCATTTGTCACTTTGGAAATTGAAAGACAGGTCTAGAGGATCGCATTGAGGGATACAGTGGTTCACACAGTATGCTTTTGTTGTATACCACAGACTTTTGCAAATATACTATTTCTAGGCATTCAATGCAAACGGTGTACAGTATACATATTGCAAACATAGTATGAGTAAGGTAGCATGGATTTCCAAACATTTACCTGGTATCAAAGCAGAAGCTGGTGTGGCTCTCATTAGATTCCAGGCTCTGATGATCGCAGACTGCAGGGGCCTCACCATCACCTCCCTAAGAAAGACATAAAAACCAAAATGAAACGCACACATCATTTCTTCTTGACTGAGACATAACAATACAATGTTCTTCAGTGGACACATTTAGCTGTCACCTCTCTATTGAGACATAACAGCTAAGATCTCACACAGACACACACACCCACACTTCGGACGAAAAGCCACGCCTGTCTGCACACAGCCGGCTTCCTGCAAAGGTTAATGGGCTTTTAACGCAGCAAACGAGAAAGCAGGAGAAAGGGGTCAGCGCCGATCTGCACCCTCAAATATCACAGGCCGGCACCCCCAGGCAATTAGCATAGCCCTCGTCAACATCTCTCTCTAACGAGCCTCTAGCCTCGTCACTCTAATCCGCTAACGAGCTCAAAAGAGAAAAGCCTTAATTGCCGTTTCATGCAAATTAACCACCTCTGTATTCACCTATGAACTGAGGTCTGAGGGTGCGGGGAATGCAGAGGGCAGTGAGGAAGAGAAGACGGAAAAAGAGTGAATCAAAGAGTTTGAAGTCAAGGAAAGGAAAGGCTGAAAAACAGAAAGAAAGGCTGAGAGAGAGGAAGAAGCAGTGAAGGCTGCTAAAGGGTGACAAAAATACATAGTAATGCCACATATCAGTTTAAAGACTGGCACAATAACACCCAGTTATTAGCTCTGAAACTTACAAAAACGTATAAACTAGCTTTATGGGTACTTTATATTAGGTGTCTTTAACTGTAATGTACTTACATCAAAAATAATCAATTGTTTGGTACAATGTACTTATTGTGTTTATGCTGCATTGCAAATCACGGTAGCACTTTAGTTTACAATCCTGCTCCGCATATACATACTATGTACTTATTATAGTAATCAACTGGGTAATAACTAAGCACTAACCCTGAACCTACCCCTAAACATAACATTAACCCTTGTAGTTACCTTCCTGACATTACCCAGTACTTTCTTAGGCAAGTACACTGTAAGTACATGTAAGTTCACGTGCTGTAAAATAAAGTGCAACCCAAATCACTTTTGCTGCTGTTGAGGTGGGATATGGTTAAGGTTTGGTGGTCTGGTTAGGTTTAAGGTAGGTTAAGGTGTAGGGTTGATGATGTAATTATAGATGTAACTACAGATATTCAAATGTATATTACAGGAAGGTATTTTTAACAGTAAGTACAATGTAAAAACATGATCTATAAAATAAGTGTGTATTCATTTAAATGTAAGTACAAAGTAGTTAAAGACATAAAGACATTAATATAAGGAGGGTAGATTTTATTATAATGTTATGGAGCTTTTGGGTCCTATTTGAAAAAAAATAACAATTTGTCACCCTCATGGCTAACCTGTATGACTTTCTTTCCTCTAAGAAACAGAAAATAAGATATTTTGAATAATGTGCCAGTTGCTCTTTTGTATGCATTCACAATGAATGGTAACTTAAGTTGTCAAGCTTCAAAACAGATGCAAATTCCCCATAAATGTATCACAAAATATGTCTGAACTCTGAAGCCATAGTACTGTATTTTTATGCTTCTATCACCCTCCTTTCACAAATGACACAAAGCTAGATACAACTGTCAAATCTTGCGAAACAAACAAAAAAATTGGGCAGATCATTAAAGAGAAAGGAATAAAGTGAATTTTTGTGAATCATTGTAATAATAGCTATTTTAAGATAATGCTAAATGATACCTTCATAAGTTATTAAAACAAAACTGCAATAAAAAGATTAAATCTTTTGTTTGCTTAAATGTTATGTGACCATTAACCAACATCAGAGAACTATGCACATGCAGATGCAGATGCGTTGTTAAGTTATTGAAATGCAGTATAATATCATTAAAAACACATTTCTGCTTTGGTGTTGATACAGAGGAACGTATCAGTTTTATCAATGGTGCTGTGACCAAAAAGATTGGAAATCAGTTTTAAAGCTTTAACGTCAGAAAAAAAACAAACATCTGCTAAATGTCACTGTAGCATCAGACAGGATGTGTTTTAACAATGTACAGCAGATAAGCAACAGCTTTAAAAATGACACTGTCCAGATTAAAACGCACTCTTCCAATACTATCCATCAAGCTTATAGCAGTGTGAAGTTACATTAAAACAGACCATGCCTATTATACATCTATGTAGCTGCCAAAGAAATATACACAGTAGAAGTTGTTGTGGAGTTTTCAGAATATTTCCACTGCTCTGTCTTTGTGTACGCATGTTTCCTTACGTTAGGCCGCTCTTCAGCGGGATTCTCCAGGCCATCAGGGGGGCTGAGACTGCGTGATGGCTGACTGCAGACCACAGGACCACCCCACGGCGGTGGAGCCAAAGGAGGGGGCCGGCAGGTTTGTTCTGGGGATAATGCCCCATCTGCTCCATCTAAGCAACAACAATTCAGGAAGCTCTGAATAGGGCTGTCACATCACAAAAACTTCTAGTAGTTACATATCAATGTCAATCTTCTCGATACTCTACCAATTTCGACACGACAGCAAAACAAATATATTACACTTATTCATATAAAAATATATACTAAATTCTTTAGTATATATAAATATATACACAATCAAAAAATTTTAATTATTACTTTTATTTAGCAACTATGCATTCAATTGTTTAAAAGTGACAGTAGAAACTTGTTTCACATTACAACAGATTTCTATTTCAAATAAATGCATATATGCAAATGCAAATAAATTTACTTTCTGTTCATCAACAAATGAAATGTATATACTGTATGTAAATATTAAGCAGCAAAACCGTTTTCAATATTGATAATAGAGAAATGTTTCTTAAGCATCAAATCAGCATATTAGAATGATTCTGATGAGTCATGTGACACTGAAGACTGGAGTATTGACTGCTGAAAATTCAGCTTTGATCACAGGAATAAATTACATTTAATATATATTAAAATACAAAACAACTGTGATGCAATACTATTTCACAATTTTACCGTTCTACGGTATTTATGATCAAACAAATTTAGCCTTGGTAAGAGACTTCTTTAAAGAACAACAAAAATCCTACTGACCTGTAATTTGTAACTTTTAAATGGTATTGATTGAATAATTATAAATTATAAATAATTAAGTAAACACTTTTTAAAAAAGTAAATAGTACTCTTTTATTACTTTAGTATGAAACAAATTCAACCATAAACAGGTCATTATAGACAATCAATCTACATTTTTCAAATAATCTAGTAGTTTTTTTTTTACTATACTTACTTTTAAAAAATCATAATAAATAAATAAAAGTAGACAAAAGCGTGCACCCACCCCGGGTCTCTTGCTCTGAATAGGGGTTTCCGTACTGCAGTTCAGCTGGTTGTTGGGGCACCAGTGGAGGTGGAGGTTGGTCTTGTGTATACGGCAGTGGGTATCGCAGAATCATTGGCTCTCTTACGTCTGACCTCCGACTCCCTGCTGCCTCCACTCTGTTCATACACTGCCGCAACTCCTGCAAGAAAAACAAACAGTCAACAAAATATATGATCACAAAGTGAGTTCTCAACATATCTGACAAGAAACACTTATTTATTGCTTACATGAGTAAAAGTAGCTAATACAAATATTGTCAGTGAAATTGCAAAAGATAAAGGACAAACCTGGCTTGATGCTTAAATTACAGCACTCCAATAATCTCGTAATCAAAATTATACACCGGCTATTTAGACACGACAAGAACCTGAATTAAACTTCTTTGGCCAACAATCTTCAACCAAAGAAACTGAAATCTTGAGTACTATATTACCAGTCTTTAAATAGCACTGACACAGTGTATAACTCTCCTTGCTTTTTTTAAACTCTTTTTCTTGTTCTTTCTTTCCTTCTCCTTTGACCTCATATCCGTGAGCCATGATTAGAGGAATTATTCGCACATTTAACATTTAACACAAGTGCTGATGGGTAATCAGGGAGCCGCATGTGGCATTTAGCCGTGACTCTTGGGGCTCAAACATTCACACTCCGCCTGATTTCAGCGTCTTACCTGCTAAGAATCAAATTAAGGTATTTAATATTTAAAGATTCTCATTAACATTTAGAAGATCAAGCTAATAATACCAGCTTTAGAAGATATTGCAGCTTTTTGGATCTTTGGATAGCAAACAAAGAACACAATACTTGAGTATATAACAACAAACTCTTTATAAGAACAAAAATGATAAGAACAGGGTTATACTATAAATGCTCTTACCTTCTCCAGTCTCTCTTTCTCCCTGGTCACCACCACAAGACTCTCCCTCAGAGCAGACACCTCTCTGACCTTCTCTGCCACTTGAGTCTATCAAGGAATTCATACGATTTATTTTGAGTGGCATCTGGACATATGTTTTATAACTGCTCTAAAAACACCACTTGAAAGTGAAGTGTGTGATTCTAAACCACTAAAGGCACGAAACAGAGTTGTTAGTTGCAAGTCCTATAATATTTAAAAACAGATGAGGAGTGGCTATAGATTATTAAGCAAGCATATATAGGCTATTAAGCAATCTTAATTCTGGACTTGAAATGTTGGAGTGTTTCTCAGGACTGTGACATTTTTTGACCAAAAAAACTGAATAAATTTTCCATTCGTTTCGAAATGACTTGTTCAAGCTAGAAACACTAAAAAGTTAATGGTTCAATTTCGAGTTTTGAAAGAAGTCTTGTATGATCATAAAGGCAGCATTTATTTGATCAAAAATACAGTAAAAACATACGCATTGACAATTATTATTACAATTTTAAAATAATTATTTAACATAATATTTAAATGTATTTGAAAATGTAATTTATTCCTGTGATGGCAAAAGCTGAATTTTCAGCATCATTACTCCAGTCTTCAGTGTCACATGATCCTTCAGAAATCATTCCAATACGCTGATTTGGTGCTTAATATTAATATTATTATTTTTAAAATATTAAATATTATAAATTAATATTTTTGTGGTCTGCTGATCTCCTTCTCTTTCTCTCTGTTTGAGTTATCATTGTGTAAATGCTTGTTTGGGTTTGAAGTTCAGTTGAAATGGGTTTACTACGATCTTACCCTGCTCTCCAGCAAACAGTCATAAAGCATTTGGTGAGAGCGTGTGCATGCGTTTAAACACGCTGTAAATAAAAGACTTTCCTTTTGATGGTGTCTCCAGCTTTGTCTAAATACTCAGACAAGAAGAGTCCTTTACGACCTCCTTTCCACTTGGCCAGCTCTGTCCTTAATGACTGCTGTGTTCACACACGCTCACAAGACTGACGGAAATGTGATACCTCAGTGAACCGGACCTAAAAATCAACCCGTGGAAATGTTTGTACGTTTGTGTGCACTGACATCTTATGCAAATGAATGTGTGAGTATCTGTGGCTGGCTCTTCCCTGTGAGGTTGAAGGAACCTGAATCATGTATGTACGCCTCTGTTTGTGTGTGTGTTTACGTACTTTAAACCGCTGCTCCTCACTGGCTAGCAGGAGCTTCAGGTATTCATTGATGGTGTACTGCTCTCTCCATTTCTCCTCCATGCAGGCAAGCTCAGCTTCGACTGACACACTGCACTCCTCTTCCTCCTCGTCCTCATCCTCCTCCTCTTCATCTTCCTCCTCTTCCTCTTTTTTCTCTTCCTTCCCGTCCTGTCCAGGTCTGCCTTCAATTCCCAGTCTCTCGGCATCTCTTTGTGTCACAGGTTTGATCTCAGCAGGATATTGATCTTTCAAATGTGAGAAGTTAATGCATAAGAATTTGGTCACAATATTATAGAGCATATAAAAACATTAGTTTCATTAGTGAAACTGCTGTGCGATGTGACAAAATAACCAATAATAATAATCACCAATGCTGCACTTATTTGATCAAATATACAGTAAAAAGTGTAATATTGTGAAATACTATTCAAATTTAAATGAACTGTTTAGTATTTAATAATATGTTTCATACATTACTCCATTACTAGAGTCTTTAGTGTCACATGATCATTCAGAAATTATTACAATATGCTGATTGATGCTCAAGAACCATTTCTTATTATTAGCAGTGAAAATGGTTGTGCTGCTTAAAGGCAGAGTAAGTGATTTTTCAAAAACACTTTAGAAAACTGATTCGGGCCGAATCGCAAAACAAACTTGTAGCCAATCAGCAATAAGGGGCGTGTCTACTCGTGATGTGGAGGAGAGCGCGTTCAGTGCATGGGACGGACATTAGCCGAGCCGAGCGACAGAAAGATAGAGATGGCGGATAAAAAACAAAAGAGGAAAACGTCTGCGGAAGGATAAGGCAAGAAGTAGGACCCGTGTAAATATCGGATCAGCTTTCCAGCGCTGGAGAGAACTCAAGGAGTGGAGGCCTGCGATCGGACGCCGAGGTTGCTATGTTTCTTCTCAGTAGGTGAGTAACACCGTGTCTACAACAGCTAAAGTCTGCCTACACTGGACGCGATCAAACGACCGTTGAAAACCATTTGAAATTTGTGTCAGCACGTCATAATAGAACCCGGCAGCAGTTTTCTGTCGGGGATTTGTTGCGCCGCGCTGCTCACGTCCGTAGACACGGTGTAACATTGGTTTTGCTTTGTTTCACAGAACTAATCATTGCCTGGGGTGCGTACGTATATGTGGGGCGGAGCTATCAAAATAGGGGCAAGACCCTTTTGGGGTAGGGGCGTGGTTGTTTTGGTGATTTCAATTATCAACATTGGCTACCAGAAATCCCTTACTCTGCCTTTAATTGTGGAAATTGATATACATATATATATTTTTTTTACTTTTTTGATAAATGGCATTTATTTGAAGCATTCATTTACTTAAAAAAAAAACAAAAAAACGTATATATTAATTTTTACTTTTTTAATTAATTTTTAAAGGAGCTAGTTTGACGATGTGTGTTGGGAGTTTAAATGTGTTTCGATTCATTTGTCTCCTTGCCAATACCTGTGGGAGGCGTCTCTGCATCTGGTGTGTGTAACTCCTGTGTGGTCTCTGTAGAGGCATCATTCCTGTTACAGTCCTAAAATATATGTAATACTTTAAGATTTCACACAAAAATATAGGAGTTTTCACAACAGACTTCACTTATAAACCTCAACTAACATACATAAAAACTAAATGTATGATTGCTTAACATCTTGAAGTGTATCATTGTAAGAGTTGCATTTTTTTGTAAAATGAACAACTGGGTAAAGCCATAATTTCAGTTCCTCACCCCCTGCTGCATCTCTTGTTGCTGGGTCAGTTTGGTGACTTGTCTTCGCAAACGTTGGCACTCTCTGTATTTCTCTTTGTAGTGCTCTGCAGCCATATTCAGACGCAGCTTTAGTTCCTCGACCTCTTTTTGTAGCTCCGCCTCCAGCTCTGAAACCACACCCACTCCAGCCCTGCCCTGAAATAAAATAAAGAATAAATAAAATAAAGCAAGAACGCAAGAAAGAGAGTTATCTCACAGTTCACACTGTGTCTAAACATTGCGTCTAAACCATGTGTTCTTCATATTGTTATTAACAGATCTTCATAATTAAATAAACATAAGGGCCAGTTAGTTGTGGTTACCACTTCCTGTGATGCCTGGCTTCTCATCCTGTCAAGCTGATTCTGAGCATGTCTGCATTCTTCCTGGGCTTCAGCTAAATGGGCTCGTAGGTCTTCTGTCTCCTGACGGGCACGGTACAGCTCAGCCATGGTGCGATCTCGCCCGCCGGAGGCATCACGTAACTCAGAACCCAACATGGCGGCCTGCTGCCGCGAGGCCTGGAGCTGCTCCTCAGCTTGACGCAACTGCATTTTCAGACCCTGGAGATGCACACAATGCATTAGGAAGACGAAGTATGATTTATGTGAACAAGCACTATATAGTATATACTCACCAAGGCTGCATTTATTTTATCAAAAGTACTGTAATTCTTCAAAAATTATTTGAATATGCGGATTCAGTGCACAATTATTTTGAGTGCTCAGTTATTAATAATGGTTCTTATTATTATCAATGTTGAAAACAGTTTTGCTGCTTAATAATTTTGTGGAAATCTGATTCTTTGAAGATGAATAGAAAGAACAACATATATTTGAAATATAATATATTTAAAAGAACAACATATATTTGAAATGTAAATCCTTTGTAAAACAAATGTTGTCACTTTTGATCAATTTAGACTTTAAATTTTAGAGCATCCATGCAGCATTGAAGTTTTAAATGTTTTTATATCTTTCTTATCCCAAACATTTAAATAGTAGTAGTTTTTTTATGGTTTTCACAAAAATATCAAGCAGCAAAAACTTGCTTAAACATTATAATAATAAGAAATATTTCTATATTAGAATAATTTCTGAAAGATCGTGGTTGTAATTGCTGCTAAAATTCAGCTGTGCTATCACAGAAATAAATTACATTTTAAAATAGTTATTTTAAACTGCAATAACATTTTTCAATATTGCTGTTTTACTGTATTTTTCTTCAAATAAATGCAGCCTTTGGTGAGCGTAAGAACCTTCTTTTGAAAACATGAAAAAAAATTCATACTTATTCCAGAATTTGGACCGGTAGTAAATATATTTAATGTATTTGTATTTATTCTTTAAATAAACATCTATTACGGCATCAGCGGGGTGTGTGTCCCTCTCTGTGCGTAGCCTGTGCAGTTCCTCCTGGTACTGTGCGATGGTGACCTCTCTGTTTAGCTCCACTGCCTTCAGCATCTGCAGCTCTGCACTAAGTTTAGTGTTTTCCAGCTCGGCACTGCGCACGTGAGACTGTAAGCGTGAACACACAACATGGATCAATGCACGTCACATGACTGATCGATGCATATGATTACAGTTTATAACCTGTAGATACTACACGCACTTACTTTGTAAAGCTCCCTTTCGTCTCTCTCGTTCTTCAGTTGAGTTTGTAGACCGTCCCTCTCAGAAATCACCTTCTGCAGCCTGTCTCTTAAACTGGACGACACAAAAAACTAAATGCACCATATAAATCCTCAACTATAAATCTGCATTCTTATCCTGAGAGTCCAAGTCAAAATCTAATTCAGACTTGAAAAAAATAATGTAAAACGGAAACATTATGGAATAAAATATATATAGGCCTATATATTTAAAAAAATTTGTAGGTCACTAATCATATAATCAAATTTGATCAGATGTTTTTGCCTCCATTGAAACACAAGATGGTCAATGGATCATCTAAAAAATATGAGAACATGATCAGCAGGCTATCTAATACTTTGAAAAAAATGTTTTAATTACCTCAAGTTGTTATGCTGATAAAATAATTAAATCAAATTAAAATAAAAAAATTATTAAATTCAAATAAATACACAATAAAAGCATTTAAAACTAGTTGTCTCAGACTTTTGGACCCTACTTTAAATATGTAAATAATATAATTCTATTCATGTCAGGTAATGTGTGTTCGGGCCTTACCAGTCCAGTTCAGTCTCTTTAAGAACAGCTTTTTGTGTGATTTCTAGCAGGTCCTGTTCAAGTTGTCTGACTCTGGCTTGAGCCTCCTCCTTCTCCTCACGCAAGCCTTTCTGCAATTGGACAGCAAATGCTATCAATCAAACCTTCCAGCCAATCAGAACACTCCAAACATTTTATATATATATATATATAGTAAGCAATTAATTAATATATAAGCAATTAAAATATTTAAGTTAAGAAGAATTTACAGCTCTTATAAACAAGTTCTTCTAACACACAGCATATAGATTAAAAAAATTATTAGAAATTTATTAGGATTGTTACTAGACACAGTGAAATAACAGAGTAATTCATGGGGAATAATAGAGACTTCACAGAATCTTTTGATAATGTGGCAGTTTACAGGAGACTTAACTGAAAGAGAAAATAAATATCAGAAATGCAGGTATTATTCTGATCCAGTCTTTCCCTAAAAAAAACAGTCCATGGCTGAAGTTAATTTCCCAATAGTATGATGTCAGCAGGAAAAGGGGGGGCTTCGATTTCACTTTTGTTGCGGCGGGCTCATAAAAGGGGGGGCTTCGATTTCACTTTTGTTGCGGCGGCTCATATTTAACAGTCGTCATCAGTAAATCACAGTAACATCTGGTTCTGAAAGCACGCATACACGCCTTGTCCTCCGGCTAATCTGGTGACTCGTGGTGTTTTACGGCCGATGATGTTTCGGAATTGCAGCACAGGCAAATAAAATGTGAGGTCGTAAAATTAGCAGCCACAAAATATATACTTATGTTCTCACGATAAAGAGGAAGTCTATTTTCATATGTAAGTTCTGACAGTTTAACAGACACACGCACACTTATGGCATATGAAAGGGTTTGTGTGACTGGGGTGTGAGAGAGAATTATAAAAGTGTTAATGTTTTATTTGTGGTGTTCTTTGTCCTTTGTGACACTCATAATTCACACTTACAGACTTCAGAAGAAACACCAGGGGGCGCTGAAAGACCAGCAAACCAACTGAATCACATCCTGCTGTTTTCTGGGCCCTTTAAGAGTTTAATGTGCTTGTTGTGCAGTCAAACATCAACACCACATCAGAGCCAAACGGAATCTGCAAAGATTTTCTTTTTTTATGCTGAGGGGAAAATCACATTTTGTGAAATGGATTTTACATGGTAAAATGTGGTACATGGATGAAATTAGCTGGCCATATTAAATAAACAATGCAAGGGGTGGGGATCACCACAATATCCTTTGGTATTGATGGTGTTTGCATTGTTTTATTTATTTACTCATTTTTATGCCATCTACCACTCTTTTAATGGTAAGAAAATTTTTTAGAAGTCAGTTATAGGTGATAATTAGGTAAATACATTTAAAATTATATTTAAAAAGGGATACAAGATATAGACCAACTAAATAAACTGCCTTTACACTAGTACACTACTGTTCAAATGTTTGGGGTAAGATTTTTTTTTTAAAGAATTTAACTCTTTGGATGCTTTAAATTCTAAAAATAAACCTAAAAAAAATATTAAGCAGAATAGTTGTTTTGATAATAATAAGAAAGATTTCTTAAGCTGCAATATCAGCATATTAGAATGATTTCTGAAGGATCATGTGACTCTAAGGATAGAAGTAATGGCTGCTGAATATTCAGCTTTGCCATCACAGGAAAATTACAAATTACATTTCAAAATACATGAAAATACAAAATTGGGTAACATTTTATTTTAAGGTGTCCTTGTTACATATGTTACATGTACTTACTATTGTAATAATAATAAATTATGCATAATTAGATGCAAGTAACCCTAAGACAAACCCTAATCATAAACCTAACCATATAAGTACATGCAGTTAATTAATATTACTCAGTACTTAAATGCATAATTTCACTGTAACAAGGACACAAAATTGTAATAATATTTCACAATATTGTATAGTGTATATAGCCTACATCAGAGTACCATGGTATTACCATCTGATACCTGAATAATGATAATACGTCACATTACTATATTTTGTAGTCAAATGAACAGGAATGACAAAAGGTTCAGAAAACACAGACATTTTAAATAAAGGAGCTATTAATAGGAAATAAAAAAATGAGGGCTATTAACATTAACCAACAAAAATGAAAAACATCAATGCATTTATTTAACTTGACATTATAACTATCACACACCCCTCTTTAAACCCCACCCTCTAATGAGACATCAGCCAATCGAATGTTTGCAAACTGCTTAGATATGAAATGATTGGCAAGACTTTGGTTTCTGATAAACAATAACAAAAAAGCTGCCTATTTCAAACTATTTTTATGCTCTTTACAGAGCATGAGGCTGTTACAAAGACAGACAGGACACATTTCAGTTATATGTATCAGGTAGTAGTGACGTATTATGTGTGGTATTTCAAAAAAGAAATCACATACAGCACCTTTAAATATAATCAAAATTAGCAGACGAAAAAGAGAGAGAAAGAGAGCGGGAGAGGGAAAATGGCGTGACTGGCTGCTGTTGTCTCAGTGACTGGGCAGGTCTCCTCCTTTCTGTTGAGTGGTTTTGGTGGACATTAACTCCTGGCTGCGTGCACACGTTTGACGTCACGTCTACCCTCTGTGGTCGACATGGCACTGCCATGATAACAGATGCCCAAGTAAACTTTTCTCTGTCTCACTCTCTTTCTTTCTCGGTTTCTCAAACTCCCAATTCTTTCACTCCAAGTAAATCATCCTCAGCACAGTCAGAATTAAGTATGGATAAATCACATGACTTTATGGGGAAGGTCAGTAATGCACACAGAGACACGCACATGGCCATTATCTGATAAGATAAAGTGCTTTGTGGGAGTAAGTTCACCGTCAGACAAACAGAAAAGCGTTTTACACTTGGAGACAGAAAGTCTTAAAGCACCAATGTGCACAAACACACACAGGAGAGCGCTTTGATGTGCAGATAACTTGAACTTGTGATCTCTGGTGTGTGTTACATGCTGTTTAAACACTGTGTGTGTGTGTGTGTGTGTGTAAGCCATCTTTGCTGCTTCGTTGGTTGGTCACTTTTATGTGCGAGTGTGTATTTAGTACCTGGTTCTGTTGTCTCTGTCTCTCCTGTAGCTGATCTCTCTCCTGTGTGAGGAGGCGTAGTGCTTTCTGCAGTTCTTTGCACTCCTGTTGAACTTCCTCAACACGCTGCTGCTCATACACACATATAAAGATAATAAGCCAAAAAAATAAGACACAAGCTTTGTTCCAAAACCTAGTGAGATGCCTTGCTTCCTACATAGACAGCTGCCGTCTAAGACAGCATCTTACCATAATGGAAGCTCATAAGTGACTGATTTGGAAGGCTGTCTATCTATCTATCCATCCATCCATCCATCCATCCATCCATCAGCATATTAAAATACAGCACACACAAATATTGTGGAAAATAATCCATTTAAATTACACTGCACTATTTTGTTAAAGAATGTTTTTCAGTGCTGAACTAAACAGATGTTTATATATTTTTTAATGTATTCATTTTTATTTACAATTTGTATTCAGATTATAAATAGTGCGTTTATCGTTGACATTTCTCTTTTCCTGTATTTTTCCCCCTGGGATTGTCACAATGCATCATTGCAAACAATACATGCAATTTTGCTTTATAATTTGGATAAAACAAGTTAGCTCAAGAGACAGCATGATTAGGTTGCCTACGTTTTGTATCAAGAGTGCACCTGTGATGCCTTAGGTTTTGGAACAAAGCAGGGATTTGTATTCTTGTTTGTGTGATTTGCATACCTCAAGTAGTCCAGTCTTTGTCGTCACAACCAGTATGTCTGAGTTCCCATCATCTTCCACGGTCAGTAGCTCCTCCCCTGTGGGTGTGGCCGGGCGGAATTGGAATGGTGTGCTCGCACCTCTGATTTCACCCGTGTGTGTGACATAGCAGAACTGATAAAACTCACCATCACTACGGGGAACATAATATCCTAGGAAACAGCATGTAGAGTATTTGATTACAGGTTTCACCATTTTAGATGTATTGTCTTATACTATAACTTACAATAGAAAGGTCATCTGCAAACAAAGTAAAGCAAAAACAAAATGCCCTACAAAATTAAACAAACTAAACAAAACATCAAAGATTCAGTCTGCATGAACTTTCAAAATTTCTGAAATCAAAAATAATGACTCTTTAATTTTTACTTAAATAACAATAAAAAAAACACCCATTTTTAATCATCCAATCAAATAAAACAAAACAAAACATGATGACATTAAATAAAAAATTATTTGGTCTTACTGCGCAAAAAACTAAAAACAATTAACATAATAACATTAATAAAACCCAATTTCACAGTCCAATTAAATTATGATGGATAAAAGCAAGTTTAACCATCCAATCAATTCCTGAAAAATAAAATTATGTCCCACCCTTCACTTTTCTCCTTTTTCACTACATCAAACAGAAGTAAAATAGGTTGCATAGGGCAATACATGTTGACTTTGTGTGTGTGTGTGTATATGTGTGTGTGTGTGTGTGTGTGTGTGTGTGTGTATACCCTGAAAGATGATGGTTCGGTGAACAGTGGATCCCTCAGTGTAGTTTTCAGGCATGGGAGACCAGAGAAACGTGTAGTAGTCTCTCGCACTGCTCCAGCCCACCTAACACACACACACACACACACACACACACACATATAAGAACAGCAAACCAGAAGTGAGTCAGAACTAAAACTTTTGTGACCAGACCAATGAAGGCCTTTGAAAACAGTTACAAGTAAAACGTATAAAACACAGACTAGTTCATTTTGACCAAAACGATACAAGCAAAACTATATAAACACAGAGACTACATAAAATGTTTAAGGATCACACAGTCAAAACAGATGGAAAGAAAGTGAGAAAGAAGAAACATTACTTACTAACAATACATTAAACCTGTGGGAAGTCTTATTACTTTGTCTCATATCGTTTTCACAGGTTATAAATATCACAATAAGCTCAAGGAGGGATGGAAACACTTAGCCTCCTTTCTGAACTTCTTAGCCAGAAAAGGGGGCACAGTGTGTGTGTGTAGGGTTGGAAAAGGAGGCGTAATGGAAAAAAAGGACCTCGAAAAAGGTGAAAATTTTACACATGCTTCAAAGGCGGCTAAAAATTGTGTGGTTACTCTTAAAAGTGTGAGTGTGCATGTGAATTTCATCATTTCTGCCTTTGAAGCACGTGTAAAATTTTCACCTCCATAACCACCCATATTTGTGTGTGTGTGCAAATGAGTGATTGCATGGTTTTTAATGCCGTTTTAAATGAAATATGATGGAAATGAAGAAAAGAATGTAGTCCACCATCATAAACATGTCACATACGGTAACTTCTTACAGTTACAAACAAGACACACACACACTATCAGCAATTTGTCATCGTGATTTTTCACAGCACTACCTGACATTTACTTTGATTACAATATATCACATCTGTAATCTCTTTTTTTACGGAAAGTATTCTGCTTTCATCTGGAACGCAGTCATCTGTGAAGAAATCAACTATTAATTACAGAGAAGAGAAGTAAAGAGGAGAGCAAGAGGAAAGAAAAAGAGAGAAGGAATCCGAGTGTGTTTCAAACAAGCCATGCTTGTACACACATGACCGATAAACGATAAATTAAATAATAAGAGGGCTGATGTAACTATAAATCAGGTGCATAAGAACATGTTCGGCATGTGCGCGACAACTTAATTATATAGTACTTGAGTACACCGAGTGTGTGTGTGTGTGTGTGTGCATGATTACACAGCATTTTTTGTATTGCTTAAAAGTAGCCTATTTTCAACGTGCCTCAACATACTCCTTCATAAAGAGTACTATATTCGTTCACCCTGAAAATTTAAAATATAGGTTTTCTTTTTTTTCTACACACAGGGATACTGCATATACAAACAAAAAAGTTACAGTTAAACATATGTAAAACTTTACATATAAAGAGATAAGATACTGTACAAGTATTTATATATAATTAATGTCATTTAATACGAAAATATCAATTTAATTTAAAACTGAAATTTTGCACATTAAATAAAAAGGGACATTGCAAGTACAAATTAAAAAGCTGCAGCTGATTATTTTTTAGAATTGTACAAATAAAAAGATAAAATACAGTTATTTATATATAATTAATAACATTTAATTAAAAAATTAAATTAATAATTTAAAACAGAAATTTTGCATTTTAAGTAAAAATAAAACAATTATAAAGTGCAATTATTCAAATATAATTAACAACATTTAATATAAATATGTAAATTAAGTTTTGCATGTAATGTAATTCTATTTTAGCTGAGTAAAAATAGAAACAGCAACAACCTCTGCACACAGAAAATTGTTTTGTTTTTTGCACAAAAAAAACACATTGTTAATTAAACTATTATGCAACTCGCTGCTTTCTAGAAGGAGCAGTACTTTCTCTAAACCACCAGAGGGAGCCTGTGGTTCTCTAAGTAATATAAAGCACAGGTTAAGGTGTGTGTACTAAGTGTGTGTATATGCCTGAGGAATAATTCCCATATTACCTCATTAATAATTTAAATACGAGTCCATAGATATTGTCAGAATACATCCAACCATAATGGTCTACCATATAAGTCTGACTAATCTTATCCAGTTATGCATTACACATAGCAGCAAATATCTATTATTATATTAAATCTTATTGCAGAATGCAGATACAAGGATGAAAGGAGAAAATACTAAAGCAAAAGCATAAGGAAGGATTAATTTGTTGTGGGAAACGCCCACAGCATCCAGCACAACAGCCCATGCTATCAATCACACACACACACACACACTCACACCGCAACACTATTCCCCCGTAAACTAACCATCAAAACAACAGGGATATTGAGCGGATTAACCATCTTTTTTCCAATCCACATTTTTCCCCTGCAACCCACCACTCTAAATGCTGTCTGGAAAGATCTGGTTGATTTGAAGTGCCTTTTATACCAGTCATAAACTGTCACTGTATCTTAACAAGACGTAAAGTTTCCGTGTGCTCATTTCCTCTTGATTAAGTGCAAGATTAAATTTCGAGATGAAAGAAGAGCGAGAGAAAAAAAAGTGAGATTAAATCGGGTGGATAGAATTTTCTTACAAAAAGCATTTCTGTGTATGAAAACCTAAATATTGACCAGATGTTAGTGAAATATGTAATGTGTACCAACCTTAAAGATGCCAACCCAGTCTTTGGGATGTGGGGTGATGAAGGGGGTGAGCGTGTAATGACATTCAAGCGCTGCCTGCGGGAGGAAGCTTTTCCCAACATTCTGGAAGATGACATGGGCAAAGTTAGACGTCTCCATGACAACACTTCCTCCTCCACCAGCAGATGCTCCCGTATTACAGGCTGACAACATCATAAGCGCTCAAGGAAAGCCTGTGATTGGTCTACCTGAAACAAGAAGGAATGAAAATTACAAAGAAATAATGAGGTTTAACTGACAGTTTCTCTTTCATAATACAGGCAAGGGATATTGTTCAGTCAGAGAGTCAAATATTGCAAAATAAACCCCAACATGGACTTGTATCACCCTGAATGAGTTTATTATTACCTAGCTCCTTACCAAATAAATAAAAGGACTTGACATAGTGATTTGAAATGTTTTTATCTTACTTTTACAGACCTCAGAGAGCCCTAACACAACCATAGCTATGCAGAAAACATTGGTTTTACAGAATGAAAGGTCAATTTTACAATATGGCCCAGGAATTATTATTGAAGTAATAATTAATAGAAGTCTCTCCTGATTCATTTAAATTCCGCAAAGTTTATATTCTTTATATTTAATGATGCTACTTTGAAAGTGATGCAGCAAAAAAAAAAAAAAAAGTTTACACTGAAAATTGCATGACGGTGTGTTTAAGCAACACAGAATTTGCAATAAACTATAGGTCATTCTACTGCATTTAAATGTTATTTAGATGCTTAAATATTTTTGAGCTGACATACATTTGGTTTATGCCCATGTGCAGCTGCATGAAGAAGACCTGCCCTATTCCAGGCCGGATGGGGCGATGCCGAGCAGGCCTGTATGCATGGCACTGCTGGTGCTGCTGTCATCCCTGTTCAGGCCTTTACCGTCAATGACAGCTCGATTCAATACAGCAAATTACATATTCGCACTGAACTCATTATATGATGGTTTAAAACATAACATTCCTTGTTAATCATACTAACGTAAAGCATGTTTGCTTAAACCGAAAGCAACTTTCTAGATATATTTCACTTGCATCATGTCGCTAACAAGTCACTGCGGATTTTAATGGTAGTTACAAGTACACTAAATGATGTAGCATTTTTCTATACATGCAAGTTATTTATTATACGACGTAAATTACTGGCTGTGGCCTTAGAGGATGAGCTGATGAGTTTTATTAATTCCACTGCAAGCCCACCCCTAAATACATCGAGATGGACCGCATGCAATTCCAACATATATTTCCAAGATTATCATTATATATCTTATAGTCGTCCCTCAATAAGTCCGTTATACCTGTAATCCATGTTTACTTGAAGATCTGTAACTCTTGTTGTATAGATTGCTAGATAACGCAGATGGAGAGTGTCTCTGTCATGTAGCTGAACCGGGTGTCAACATGTTTTGAGAATCTAGAAACGTCATCCTACTTCCGGTCGGTTGCGCACTGTGATTGGTTTATTTACTCTTGTCACCGAGATCCGTGTTTTATCATTGGTTAGTGAATAACCCCGACAAAATAGAGATGGGAGGTATGATTCTTTTCAGAGAATCGGTTCTCTCAAACAACAACTCAACTCAACTCAACATCATTTTACTGATTCCGTTCGATTCGTAAACGAATCATTTAAGTCCGACTCCGTTTCAGCAAACATACGTGGATATTATGGAAAAATGCCAAGCGTTACTTAAGACGTTAAACGAATATGGTTATTGTATGCAGATATTATAGTTTTAGGAAACGTTTGATCATTTAATATGTTAAGAGATAGCTAAAACGTCCTAGACACTATATTGTATAAGCATATAAAAAGTATATCTAGTTATGTAGTATATTAAGTATATCTCTGAATATCAAATATGTCTATGAAGATGTTTATAAACTCTATGAAGTAAGCTACCTTTTAAAGGAAATGGTGAATAGTCCTATTTGTGAAATGATCAGTGTGTACTAGAAAAAAATATTCTATTATTTATTTATTTTTCAGCGTTTGTTATTGAAAATATTCATGTATGTGTAATATTATGTAGAACAACAACGAAGAGATTTTAGCACAAACTGTCATTCTTTGATTTGGGCAACATGGTCATAAGTTCACTTAGAAGCCTAAAGCGTCTAGCCATTCTTAATCTTTTAAGAAGTATCATCTTAATTCTATTCAAAGAAATCACAGCAGCAACTCTGGGAGAAACTGCATGATATCTCGATGACGATCTCTATCTAATTGGTTGGTACGCAAATCCTTATCAGTGATTGGAGGAATGTTGCTGTCAATCATAGGACCCGCCTCCTGAGTTCCTGACTGGTATTGTCAGGAGCTGAGGTCAAGAGAAATAAGCATGGCCGCTTTGTTTAGAGGGTATCGGAATTTGTATAAAAGCAATAAACATGTGGAGCTCACTTTGGGTATGTTGTTTCCTTATTAATTATCCATTGACAGACCAAGGGGGCTAAAGCGCCGCTAATGTTATTGCAAAGAGCGGTATGGAAATGTTTTTTTTTCATCTGTTTTGTTTGTCAGTCTGCAAAATATGTGAATATGTATGAAGTATGCTTGGACATATATGTAAAAGTATATAAACAAACATTGTGCACAATAAGCAAGTCACTGTTTACTTTTTGAGGTTCAGAAATGTTGTGCAATGCATCTGGTGTTTTGGAGCTCATAGGTTAAACTACAGTTAAAAAAATTGTTTTCAGCTGCAAACTATAAGCTAAATAATAAAATAAACTGTGTTATCAAATTAAATACACGTCCTAGCCTTCTCACCAGGTTCCGCTTTTGTCACCTCATTTAGTAATTTTAAATGTTTATTTTGTCTATATCAGTTTTTCTCTTAGAGTTCAGTTAGAGTTTTTCTTTAAGCATCTGGATCTGTAAGGATATGAAGGTCTTTATAAGCAATTGATATTGAGGGTTAAGAAATCTTGCAAAGACTTCTCAATAGTGCTCAGTGTGTTATTCCATGTATTTGATGTTATACTGACATTGATTTTTACAGAATTGCTCCAGTAAGTCTCTGTTTTATAGACATGATAGGCTAAAAAAAATCTTCTGTTGCCAGTTTCAGTGCACTCTTTGACTATCATAGCTTTCTGTGTCTATAGGGAGGATTTTATTTTACTGTCATTTATGATTTCTGTCTGTGTGTGGTTTTTCAGTATCCTGTAGATCAATGGCTTCCAAGACCCCAGTGGGTTTTATTGGACTGGGTAACATGGGGACACCTATGGCTAGAAACTTACTGAAGCATGGGTATCCTGTCATTGCTACTGATGTCTTCCCAGAGTCTTTCAAGGAGCTTCAGGACTCAGGAGCACAGGTATAAGTATCTGTTTCTCAAACAATGCGCTAAAACAAAATCTATCACCATCTTTCCTACATCTAGACTGTACAGTTCTGTGAATGAGGCTGTGCAAATAATTACCCTTGCTTGTCCTCCCAGATCCTGGATTGCCCTGCTGAAGTGGCTGATAAAGCTGACCGCATCATCACCATGCTACCGTCCAGCCCCAACGTCATTGAGGTTTACACAGGACCCAATGGCATACTTAAGTAAGTCCTTTCACATTAAACTCTCAACAGTGTTAAATTCGATACTGACTGAATTTTAACATATTGGAGAAACTGTTGTCCTACATTACCAAAATTAGTCTAAATTGGATATAAATCTGCACAGCATGTGTCTGTATTATTTATAATGATTAAGAATAGTTCAAGATTAAGGAGTTTCCACTGACTGTATGATTAGTACAAGTCTAGGCTTAATCTAGTAGTTCTTTTAAATCTTCCTTAATTCCAAGAAATTCTGGTCTGTAGAAGGCAAATTTACAGACCCCAAACTTTTGAATGGTAGTATATAGTGCATTCATAATTTTTTCCAAATGAGATTAAATGAACTAATTTTGCGTAATATTTATTGAATATACAGTATATTATACAGCAATTTTAAATGTTTTATTGTTTACCTGCATGGCATGTTACCATTAACAAACATCAAAGAAGCATGAGCATGCAAATGTGTATAAAACATAGTAACATGTCTAATTTGGATTTTGCAACAGGTTAGGCTCATTTAAATATTCCTGGGCTTCTTGTTATGCTGATATTTAACATTCTTCTGTTTGATTTTGCACTCTTCTTTAAGGAAGATAAAAAAAGGCACCCTTCTGATTGACTCCAGCACCATCGACCCTGCAGTGTCCAAAGAGATGGCCGTTGCTGCTGAGAAGATGGGAGCAGTGTTCATGGATGCTCCGGTGTCAGGAGGTATGACCGACCTGAAAACAACCTCTAATTACCATCTACGTAATAGGCGCTCAGTTTGGTTTAATGACTGAGCTGTGTTCTCACTAAGGCTTTTATTGTGGTCAGTAGGTTCACAGATGTGCTGAACGTGTCTCGGATTGTCAGTTTTTATTTTGTACTAATTTTAATTTCCTGTACCTATAGAAGCTTGTTCTTATGGCTAATGCTCTACTCGCAGATAAGTTAGATATTGCAACACAAACTCTAGAAGTTTAAATTCTGTAATTTCTGTTTTTTAATTTGTTTAAATTTATATGGAAATGTTAGTTCCTTTTAATGCACATTAGTGATTGAATTTAGGTTTGTACTTGTTTACCTTAGTGTCAGAATAGCAGAATAATTTCCTGTAGAGTTAATTGAGACAAAGAAACCTGCAATTATACAGAAACACAAACACACTCCCGTTATATTATGCAGATTCTCTGGGAAGGCTCTGTGACAGGGCCTTTAATGGCCTGAGCCGTTATGGAGGACAACGCTGTCAGTAGCTTTCACTTTGATGGAGCCGTAATGTTGGCTCTCCCAGTCCAGGGCCTTTCATGTAGATAAAAGGCCATAAAGAGCTGAGAAACTGCCGTGGACAAGCACATGTTTAAGATGCACAACTTGTGTGAGTGGGGAAACTCCTCAGGCATTAAAGGTTTGCTGGATGTATGTTTACTGATTGGCGTCTGTAGTGCAGACAAGATTTTAAAGAGCCTGTGTGTGGACTAGGCTATAAAAAAGTGAATGGGTGTATGTTCTCAAGCCCTTGGACTAGACTGTGATCTAATCCTTCTTTAACATCTTAGCGGTGAGGATTTACCATTTTCCTCAGATTATATCCTTTCCTTTTGGAGTTGAGACTTGTAACAAAAACTTTTTGGGGAAAAAAGATCATAATGCAAAAAAAGCCCAAAATGTATTTGAGATTTAAAGAAATACTTCACCCAAAAAGAAAAATGTTATTATTCACTCAGCCTTTGCCATTCCGAACCCTTATGATTTTTCCCCCCTGTGGATTATTATTATTTTTTTTTTAAGATTGATCTGGGTCACTCTTTTCAATATAATGAGAGTGAATGAGGACTAAAAAGCACAAAGGTGACAAAAATATGTATAAAACTTGTGCACTTTATTCCAAGTCCTTGGAAACCATAAAATAGCTTGTTGTGGAGAAATGGCCAAAATTTAAGTCATTATTAATTGATTTATTCAGTATTTCTTCTTTTTTTTCCCCCAGTGCCTGTTTATTGCAATTGTACAGACAAGAGCAAATTTAATTTTAGAATGAGCTATCCCTTTAAAACTTTTTGGGAGGGCAAATTTGGGGATTATTTTATTGTATTTTATTTTTGCAAAAAGTTATTGTTACAAGTCCAAGGCCAATTCATTTGGCAAAAAAAGCCAAAGTCAGGTCAGATGTATTTTATAGACTCCATTAAAAGTAATAACAAATAAAAAAAACACAACACTAAAAATAGGATGAAGCAGTCAACATTGAATAAATCCAAAAACAGTACACGAAAACAGTAGATAATGACCTCTACATTAAGAGAGAGTTTATATTTATCAGTTGTGTGGGGCAACAGATAGTTTTTCATAGCCCAAATGATCACATTTTTATCAGGTCTATGGGGAGCATTTATCAGACCACATTACAAAACCCAGCAGCACTAGTACTTAAATAAACAGTGTGTCCAGAAGGTGGCACTCCAGCCATCATGACGCCATTGTGTCTGTTCTCAGCAATCTCCCATCTCCTGTCCTCTCACATAAACTCTCTGTTGTGGAAAGGAGAATTTGCATGTGTGTGAGATCATGTTGTATTTGATATAATTTTATACTCTCGGTTTTGTGTTTCTCTCTCTGTGCGTCACTAAGGTTTGGCACATCAGACTGTGTTTCTCAAATAATACATTCATAAAATGACGAACAAACTCTCTGTCTCTCTCTCTTTTTCGCTCTCTTTGTCTTTTTTTTTTGCGTAGATTTGTAATAAACTCAAAGGCACAAACCTCACTGTCTGCTGTTGCAGAATTGGACCCACAACAAACCCCCGGCTAGCGTCACACGCTCTGAAACGTGGGGTGTGTGGCCATTGCCGCGTCTAAC